ATGAGTTTCCCTGCCCATCCTCCCTAGCCAGACTATGGGCACTGTCCAACTTTCTGCAGTGATAGAAATGTTTGCTATCTGTGTTGTCCAAACACCATAGCCACTCATCAGAAATAGCTGCTGAGCTCTTAAAGTATGGCTGGTGTGTTACTGAACTTTTAGTTTTATTTCATGTTAGTCATTTTAAGTGTAAATAGCCATGCACCTTGTAGCTACTACATTGAACAGTGAGACTGTGGTAACACTACTAGGAAAGTCTGCTCTAATATTTCTACAATGAAATCCCAGTTCTAAAGAAACCCTTTGGCTTTGTAGCTTTTGTTTTGTTGGTTTTTAATAATTTTAAGGGCTGGCAATATAGCTGGGGTGGAGCACTCACTAGCATGCCCAGGGCCCTGGGTTCAGTCCCCAGTACCCCAAAACAAAAAGTGTTGTTCTTTCATTCCAGCTAAATTTCAGGGCCTACACACTAATATATCTCCTACAGAGAAAAAATTCAGGAAATGTGGAAATTTTCCTAGAAAATGCTTGCCCAGGAATCCAGATGAGGTATTTCTGTCCTCTTGCCCTCCTTACCCAAATATAGATATCTGCACATCTTGAAGGAAAAAGTTATAATTGTGAATTTGACTGTGACAGGACAAACAGTAAAATTACGTGGTCAACAGATATTTTTTTCTGCCTCTTCTCTTAAGTTTAAGGACAAATGATGGTTCCCTCAAGAAACTGCTGTTAGCAAAACCAGACAGCCTCCTCCACTCAATCCTTTATTAACTGATTCTGGTGTTTCGTGGCTTTTAAGTAGTTGTGGCGTTCAGAATTATATTTTTGGTTTCCTTCTGGTGATGAAAGGATCCCACTGTCAGCCTAGGTTTCTATTCTATGTCAATAGAAAAAATGCTCAGAAAAACCAAATGAAAAGCAAGACACGTCAGCTTCTAAAGAATTTCCATATTTATTTTATACAGTTTTACCATACACATCTCATGCCAACATACAGGAGGCATATACAAACGCACCGGCTTCTGCTCTCCAGAGTCACATGGCAATAAATAAGAGTGGGTCCTTTTTGTTGTTATTTTTCTTTTTTTTTTTCTTTTCCAGGACACAGGACTTTTATTTATTTTTAACTGTACAAAATTTACACTGGGAAGAGTGAGGGCAACAATCCAGAGCAGAAGGGATCTGGGACCTTGAGGTCTGAATGCAAACTCAGTGCAGCTTCTAGGGTCCTCCAGCCCTAAACCTGCTCGTTAGGCTGAACACAGTCCTCAAGCGGGAAAGTACAGTGTGGTCCTTGTCTCTAGGTGGGCACCAGGTGAGAGTGGGGGTGTCCCTGCCCTGCCCACCTGTGCTCTGCCTCTAAGCAAAGAAACGCTTGGTGCACCTCCCAAACCTGCAGCTGTCTCCTCCCCAGAGCGAGCAGCATGAAACTGTGCTTTTAGTGTGGTCCTACCAAGCAGAGTGTGGATGGGATGACTGCTGAGCTCTCTCCTTTTGGCTCCAATCACTGTTAGCGCAGTTGGAGCAACTACTGCAAAAAGGGCCAATTGACCAATCCAAGAAAGAGAGAGCCAGTGATGTGCTTTTATTTAGCTTTCAGCATGCCCAGAGCCCGTCAGCAGCAGGCAATAAAACAAAACTCATTTCCGCTTAATTGAATTTTTCTTCATCTCACCGTTTCCAATTTTTAAAGTGCAATGTTTAAAAATGAGCTTCCTCAGGCCTTCCAGACCCTGCTGGCTGAGGAGGTGTGGTCAGTATTTCCATGGTTATAACCAAGGTGTCAGTTGTGGCATATGGGAGGAGCTGTGCGGGGTTTAGGTGTCGTGGTAGACTGTCACAAAACACAGCATTTGCTAATCAGAAGCCCTGAACACCTCCTGAAAGAAGGTAGTTCTTAGGGTGTTTTTGTTTTGTTTTCAATACTGGGGACTGAACCCAGGGGCTTGTACATGCTAGGTAAGCGCTTTACCACTGAGCTAAATCCCCAGCTCTTTTTTATTTTTATTTTGAAACAGGGTCCTGCTAAGTTGCCCAGGCTGGCCTCATGAGCTCCTCCTGCCTGAGCCTCCTGAGTAGCTGGGATTATAGAGTGCCTGGCCTCTACAAATTTTTTATACTTCCTGGCAAAATCAATTCAAGAATGAAGATCGAATAGCTTCCAATTATATCACTATATTTTGTTTTAAAATGGCACAAAAAACTTTTAAGGACTCTGCCAGATGCTCTTCGTAGGTTATAATCCCTGTTGCTTCACGATATTAATTTGCAGGACCAGTATGGTAGTTGATGTTGATCTTATATTTGTTCACAACAGATGAGGCACGAAAGAAAAAGCACAAAAACTGAAAGGAATTTGCCTGGGGTTGCACAGCAGATCCTTGAAGGGGCAACAAAAACCACTTTCCAACAACGTGATTTAGCCACTGGGCCAGTTAGCCCTTATTTGGTTGGTTGGTTTTTTTTTGTTGTTTTTTTTTTTAACCCCATGGTTTTATTACTTTTGGGCAAATACAGAGTTCTCCACTAAGTTAGCCACTCACTTCTCATTTTTGCTTATGTGAATTACTACCGGAAATGCAGGGTGGGAGGTGGAAGGGATGTTAATTTGCTCCAGTATTTAGAAGCTTCCTCCTCAAGCCTATTGGGCAGGCACTGCGGATAGTAGCTGTTAACTGGTTTCTTAGAGTCAAAGATAGGCCCAACTATTGTAAATGAGACCTGTTAGAGAAAAGATCTCATTTCACTTTTTTAAAGGTATGCATGTCATTTAGCAAGGGGAAGACAGCAGGTCGTACCTGCTCCCCCGACGATACAGGCTACTCAGCCGTAGAGGAGCGTCTCTAAGAGAATCTAAAGGAAATGTCCTGCTCCTCTCCATCTCCGAACCACAGAGAACCAGGGAACAGTCTTGACGTGCGTGTTTATCGGTGGCACCAGCGCACCCATCATGCAAACCCAACTTGCAGAAGATCACTTCAAATCTAAGACTTGTCCTGGCTGTGCTTCTGACTGGGGACCAGTGCTTGCCTTCTCTAGGGAGCTAGCTCTGGGGAAGGAGCTTAATGCTCTCCTGGCCTTCTGGTCAGTAGTCTCCCAAGATCTTTTCCAGGTAGCCAGCCCAAATGAAACCAAACACTACTGCTAATTTCACGGTGCTGCCTACTGAGTCCCTCAGAAGACTTATTTTATTAGTACGAATGAGGACAGCCTCCCATTCTTCCATCACTGAATTAAGAATATGATGAACTCACTTACGAGAACAAAAACTGATCAGTTTAAATTGGTCTTCAACAGTGCTACACAATCACCAAAAATATGAAGTGCCTCTGATGTTATGTGATACTAAGCCAAGTAGTCAGGGTACACGGTCACCTGGCTGACACAACTTTTCAACTGGATTGCCCGGCATAGGTTTTCACCTGTGTATTGTGAGCAGCCTGATGAGAATGGTGTGTTGAATGGTGGGCTCCAGACAGTTGCAGTTTCCTTTCCTTCACACGGCTTGTCGTCTAGCCATTTGCGTCTCCATCCCCAAACAGCATTCACACTGTTGGGGAATTTCAGTAGCACAGAACTGGACAGACTTAACACACCACCATCCATAAATATGGATCCTCCAAAAAGTCTGTGTTTGCAGACTCCCCAAGCAAAGACCAGGGCAGTTGCAGCCCACCCAAAAACAAGGGTACTGCACAAAACTGATCAGAGAAAAGGCAGTCTGACAGCTGACCCAGGAATTACTGACTCTATCTTTTAAAGAAGCTTACTCAAACTAAGTGTAGTCTTGAAGAGGGGCTTACAAACGATACAACAATCATTTCCTCCTTTAGTCTGCCTACCACCTACCTAAATCTCTGCAGTCCTTAAAATGTGATCAACCATTCACAAGGGTCTCTAGGGTTTTGGTCTCAGCATGTGAAAAAACAGCAATGCCTTCTTGCCCTTTCCTACCCCCCGATCTTAAAGGATTGTAGGGCTAGAAGAAGCAAACCATGCTTTCCCAAGGGGCAGGAATACATTCCAGCTGGCTAAATTTCTAGCTGCAAACTGGAGATGTGGAATTCTCAAGAGAGCATCGTGACGGCACAGAAATGCAGCCTGTTGCAGAGTGGCAGCTCATAAAGCAGGGACTGGCCTTGTCTTGCAGGCTTAGCGACACGGAGGGAGTCCCTACACCCCAGTGGCCAGGGAACTCTGGCTTTTTGAGTGCAGCCTGGAGCCCAAAGCATGGCACGGGTCCAGCCAGCAGCCCACAGAGTTGCAGCCCAAGGACCATTTGGAACCCTTTTGACAATTTTAAGGCTGCTCCCTAAATTATTCCTCCCAACCAAACTCAGCCAAAAAATATTGCTGGTTCCTGGAAGCGACCAAGATTGCCCTCCAACTGAGTCAACTGGTGCAGCAGAGGACAGTCTCACTTTTGAGAGGGAGGAGGAATAGACTCCAAAGCTCATCTAAACCAATTCCCTCAAAGCAGACTCCAAATTTCAGTTTATCCCCCAAAAGGTAGGGATCACTGGGAGACTGGCATCTGCCACGGAGGCTAAACAGACTGCATGCTTAGCATCCAAATGTGTCTACAGACGTTGTCACTGATTGTCGTGCTGCTCTCCGTGGTCTAGCTTTGATCATTTTGTAGCCCACACCCTATCTGCGGGAGGTAACAATACAAATTTAAAGGCACACTGTGCACCATCGGCCAGCCTGTGCAGGTCCAGGGCCTCTCAGCTTCGGCCTCAAGAGTCACCTGTAATGAAAACCACTTCTTGCTGTCAGGGATTCAGTGATACAGATGGGATTTCTTAAAAAACCAAACTGATAAATACTCTCTGATCTGTACTTCTGAGTAAAAAAAGAAGTCTTATTTTCACAACAACAAACAAAAAGGGAGGGGACCTGGTTTTAGTGTCAAGCTGCGGCCATCAACATTTTCACCAACCCTTAATAACTGATTTTAAGTCTGAAAATCAGGGTTTAATCAAGTTGGTCCAGAAATCCTTTTATTATACTCAAGGGCTGTGATGCCTCTACCTCAGGAATCTCGGCTCCGGTGAGAGCAGTGGTTTGGGAGGCATTGTGTGAGACACAGCAGCTGGAGCAGGGATCCCAGGGCCACGGTGGCCGGTCACAGTCGCCTCGTGTCACGAAAGCACAAGCAGCGGAAGCCTCTAAGCAGGGTGGGAGGGGAAAGAGCTAAGAAGTCAGCATCCCTAGAGCTCTAGGCTGTCCATCCCTGTGCTATGTGTGAGATGAGGCTGCTCTCCCTCCGCCTCCCAAGAAAGCAATGCCCTAATGTGGTTTCACAGCTTCTAGAAATCATCAGAGGACTTCCATTGAAAATAATGGAAATTCACATTGGTGCACCTTTGATCCTTAAGAGCCGAGTCTCTTTTGATCCTTGAAGATATTCTTTCAAGCCAGGACAGGTAGGATGGGAGGAGAGAAGTTTAAAAAGGAGGATGATCCATTTCATCGAGCCAAGAGGCTGGGCTAGTTGGAAAGTCGGGATAGCCTACACTGCTTCCTGTGGAGATGTCAGAGGTGGGTCCCCCGGCCATGGCTCTCAGCGTCTGGTTTACTCCCTGCCCCGCATGCGCAATGATGCCCAAATTACTGTCCACCGGGTAATCCAGCCCATTCAGCAAAGGAGCGTGGGATGGCAGGGACGATATAGAGGATGGAGACTGGGGGATCCCATAGGGGCTCCCATCCCTCAAGTCCTGATAGGATTGTCCTGTCCCATCCATGGAGAAGCTCCCATTCATTAACTGTCCGCCTGTAATGTCCCCCACGTTGCCATAAATCCTAGTGGTGTGGCCAAGTTCAGAGAGAATTTGATCCTCTGTGGACAAAAGAATGGAGATTTATTGTCAGCTGCCAGGACTGTAGTGGTCCCTGCTCTTCACAACCTAGGAATACACATGACCAGGAAAGATGCCCAAAAGCATCAGCCGCCTTCCTGCCAAGCACAGGTCAGCCACCAATATGTCAGTCTGATACCCAGAGACCAACCTGAGTCAAGGCAAAAAACAGAAGAGACACCTGCAAAGACTAAATTCCCAGGTCCCAGAAAGGGAGGAAGATGTCTGGGGAGCTTTGTGGTCTTGTGTGGTTCATGTACTAAGATACTTAGGCTACACTCAGGAGTACCAATCCCCAAGGTTTGGTGGGTTGTGCTATCACAAATGGAAACTACTTGCTGGCAAGATTTATTCTGAAAGCTTTCAGCCTAAGAAACGTGCTCGGTTGGGAATCCAGTAGCCTATATAGCAAGGATAGCTGAGGACCACTCTTAAAAATGTGTACAGAATCCTTCTGTTCTACCTGGAAAAGAGGTTCAATATCAAAGGCTTTGGTTTCTCTAGTAAGTTCTTCATACAGGACAAAGAATAACTTGATTAAGGCCAATAAACCCTCCCCCTTGTTTTTTGAAGACTTTCATTGAGGGGAACTAGTGAGATCTTTGCCACATGAAAGAATTCAGCTCTCCAACAGAGTTGAGCAATTTTAGTCTTAAGAAATAAAGGGTGGTTTATCGTTGAGGACAGCCAATGCTATGTTAATGTGGGACCCACCTGCACCCAACAGAAATGAGCTACAAAATGAGATTTAACAATTCTAGCTATTTCAGCTATGGATTTAGACAGCTACAATGAGATTAAATGTCTTTCCCGATCCTATTAAGAGGCCCAGGAAGTGAGCAGAAGGCTCTTGGACCCTCCTTGGGGCCCCTGTGTTCTGAGGAGACTGATCTTTGGGCTCCACAGATCTCTGGGCTGAGCTCAGCCCTCACAGGGCGTCATACTCCTCTGTCCCACAGGCTGCTTTCTGTGTTTCTACCATGGCCCATGCATCCATTCCTATACAAATCCTCCCTTCCTACATCAACACCCATGCTTCTGAGTCCCCATTCCCCCATGAAAATAAAGACAGTGGGGAGCTCATGGCCTTCAAAGGGAGCAGGAAGGTGAGGCCTCAGCCGCACTATAACAAGGGCCCTCTGTGGGAGCCACAGGCCACGGCCTCCCACGTGTACAAATGTGCTGAGCTTTCCCAAGCACATCCACAGGGAGTTGTAGTCACCAGTCCCCATGACAACTCTGTGAAACGGGCAAGGGGGTGGAATTCCCATTGGCGGATGGGGAGAGTGAGGCTCACAAGACACCAATCACTTGATAGAGCCACACTGGAAACCAGGTTTCTGATCCCTAGTTCAGTACTCTTCCCTTCCCCCAACAGAATACCTTCCGTATTTGAGGACTCGGTAACTGAGAAGAATTGTGGTCGTTTGCAAACAATCTGAAGATCCACAGAGGTAGTAATTTGCAGTGTTGCTGATGCATAAATTTAAATATAGCGCATGCTGCAAAGCTGTGTGCGGGGGACAGGATGGAGGGAGGGGTGGGCTAAGGGAGCTCAGAAACAGCAAGTTCTCCATCTCATGTGCACTTACAGTACTGTCTTCCCAGGACAGGGGGGACCAACAGGTCATTCTAGGGGATCATGGGAGGAGGCCAATTCCCCACAAAGGGAAGAAGTACAGGAGCAGGGCTGGGGGAAGAGGCCTGTGTTCACAGCCACACGGGCTGGTGAGGGCACTCTGCTGGCAGAAGAAGAAGGGAAGCACCAGGGCCGGGGGACAGCCACATCCCAGGGAACCCAGCTTTTATATCTAAGCAACAGCACTCTCATTTTCTACTCCTGGTCCCACCACAAAGGGCCACTAACACCTCCCACCCCGCACACGCACCTCACTGCAAGTCTTGGGGCAACGCCTCTGCTCAGGGAGGGAGTTGACAAGGCCTCAAGAAAGAAAACTCCTGCCTGCCAGGGGTTACTGTTCCCCAGGGGACTCTGCTTGAGACTCGGCTTCACCCCTCCAGCCCAGCTCACCTCGGAAGCTCAGCTCACTGTCACTAACCCCACAGTCCTCTGCAGAGCTCTCTTTCTCCTGCTTGCTGCCTCCGCGGCTCCTCTTGACGCTCTTGTAGAACTGCCCCCAGCGATGCCGCCCTGCGTCCTTCTTCAGGCGTTTCTCCTTGGCCCTTCTGTTCTGAAACCAAACCTGCCACAAAGCACAAGGGACACACTCAAGGGGCGCCTGCCACAAGCCACAAACCTCCAGGACTCCCAAGGCAGGTACCTGGGAAGGGCCTAGGGCCTCAGGAGAGTGCAGGACACCCAAACCTGGGCCTCAGAACTCTGCCTCTGGATTCTGGCACATGCCCTGGGCGCTCAGTGATGCCATTCACCGGGTGACTGTCACTCATGCTCCCCAATCCTCCCCAAGGTAGAGGGCAGAGATACAGGGCCCTGGCTCTGAATATCATCCCTTTCTGCTAGAGGCCCAGCTCCCTGGAGAGCAAAGAAGTACCAGCATCTCACCTGTACAACCCTCATGTCCAGGCCTGTCTCAGAGGACAGCTGCTCCCTCACATGACGGGCAGGCTTGGGAGAGTTCTTGTAGGCGTTCTTTAACGTCTCCAGCTGCTTCGCTGTGATGGTGGTCCGTGGCCGCTTTGCTCCTGCCTCAGAGTCATCTGCAGTGAAAACCACCTTCCTGGGGTCAACCCATCGGAAACAGCTGGGTCTCCGCCCACTCCCCTTCCTTCCCTGCTAAGCACACCTGCTCTGCACAGGGCAGGGGAGGAACGGTCCCCGCCCCAAGGGGACCCCACTCTTGCAGTGCAGCCTTTCACAGAAGCCCATTGTCCTCGGCTCCAGCCTCTGCCTTCTGGGGCAGCCCAGCCTCTTGGAGGCCTTTCATCAGCCTGAATGTGAGCAGTCCCATACACCTCCTGTCATGGCAAACACTCTGCTTGGACATCCTCGAGAGTCATTCCCAGGGCTGGAAGGGTCAACTGACCAAAGTGAAGTAAACACATACTGTACACGGGGGTGAACTGCAAGCGTTGCATGCATTTAATTCTCAGAATTTTTGGAGTCAGAAGACCCGGGTTCCACCTTCTTGGTGGGTGAGGGGCGAGGTGAGCAACCTTGCCCCTCTGAAGGCTGGGGCCACACTGCCTGCCCCTCAAGGACAGCGTGCTCTAGGAACCCCACAGCTGCGCTGTTCGGGCCACACTACACGCACGCACATGGCACAGGGTAGAGGCCCCGTGTCCTCTCTGCCTGCGCTGTTTCCTCCTCCAGCACAGCCACGGTCATCCCAGACTGTTCTCAACCCACTCCCTCCCTGGAGTCCCCTGGATCAGGGGCGTCCAGAGCCTTTCAGCAAGTGCTTATAGAGCAATGTGAAGACAGAAAGCCCTCCAACATGCTTCAACTTCTCCTAGGAGGAGGCAGTCCCTTCTGCCCATATTTATAGAGTTTACAGCATGACACTATTTGATCCAAAGTTGAATTATGCAAACATGAAATGATGTAGTTTTAATACATATACAGGCTTTATGTATAAAATTTTAAATAACAAAACTATCATGGAGGGCAGAGTGGTGCATGCCTGTAATCTCAGCACTCTGAGAGGATGAGGCAGGATCACAAGTTTGAGACCACACTGGGCAACTCAGAATCTTACCAAGACCCTATATCAAAATAAAAAATAAAGAGAAAGAAAAGAAAAGAAAAAGGGCTGGGGATGTAGCTCAGTGGGAAGTTCTTTGGTTCACTCCCCAGTATAGAAAAAAAGAAAGAAAGAAAGAAAGAAAGAAAGAAAGAAAGAAAGAAAGAAAGAAAGAAAGAAAGAAAGAAAGAAAGAAAACTATAAAAAAATGTGAGCCAGGTGCAGTATTGGGTTTTTTGCTTTGTTTTGTTTTGTTTTTTGTCTATTTGAGACAGGGTCTCGCTATGCAGTTCAGGCTGGCCTTGAGCTCACTTTGTAGCCCGGGCTGGCCTCAAACGCACAACAATCCTCCTGCCTCAGCCTCCCGAGTGCTGGCAGGTGCGGTACTGTACACCCGCCACCCCAACTGTTCAGATCACTGAGTTAGAAGGATCGGTTGAGCCCAGGAATTTGGGACCAGCTTAGGCAATATAGAAAGACCCTATCTCAAAAAAGCTTTAATTGATGGAGAATCATCAATTTGCCCAGTGAATTAGAAATTATTGTCACCCACAGCCAGGTGACAATGCCCCTGGGGTAGTACCTGTCACTCTGGTTGGTGGCCCTTAGGTACTGCATCACTGCTCATGTGTACAAGACTTTCTTCTTGTGATTATGGGGACTATTATGCTGTTATTTTAACATTCACTGTTATTATAATTTAAGATCTTTTTTATACCCTATAACAATGTCATCCAAGTATTCATTAAGTAGCGGTGGCAGTGCTTGTGCTGAAAAATGTACCCAAAAATCAATAACTTTGGTGCGGAAGTTAAATGTGATAAAACACTATAAGGAAGGCCAAGCAAGACCATGATACTCCGGGCTGTTAATTTAGGAAAGAGCATTCAGCAAGGTACAGAGCTAATGCTGAGAAAATAAAAAGTAGCATTAAGGCAAAGATGCACTTCACCGGTTATGGATTTGTGTGCTAGCAGGATACATCCCCCCCTCTACTTTTTTACATTAATTCCTGTGGGAAAATTAGCCTTAACATGTGTTAGTTTTGAATTATGCAAAGTCTCCTAGAACTTGTCCCTGGCATTAAAATCCAACCTCATTCTATTGAAAATGCAGATAGCCAAGGAGATAGAACAAATGAACAAAATCATTCACATGAAGGAGCGAAATAGCTCGTATTAGATCCTTTGTTGAACTCAGGAGGGAATGATAAGACTGAGGAAGGTTTAGGGTAGCAAGGAGAGATTAAACCAAGTTAAAAGACAGTCAAGCACCCTATAGATAAATGTCCCCTGTTGCAACCAGGGTCACTCCGACCACAGCAGGGGAAGCCCAGGGAACATGTCAGGTGCCTTCAGCTGCTGTAGGGCACATCACCTCTCTGTGTGCGTGTCTCTTCCACATGGGTCTCACTCTTATTTAACATCCCATTCACAAGCCTCATCCTGCTCCAACCTCAAGAAAAAGCCCTGTGTGCCCAGCTGTTATCCACCACATTTAGCCAAGTAGCTCAGACTCAGCCAATCACCAAATTGCCCCAAGGAGCATCAAGTTTGTGGGGATAGCCAGCCAGTTTCTGCTGCTCAATCCAGTGTCCTCCATGGCCCTACAGAGGTCAGCTATTGGGCGAGTACTCTCAGGAAATTATGAACCCCACGACGTCATTCTTGCCGTCCCATCCAGATTATGACCAGTCTCCGTCTGGGTCTCTCTTGTCTGTCGTCAACTACAGCATAAGAAGATCCTGAGCCCAGGGTCTCTGACAGTGAGAAACAGCACGGCCCCAGGAGAGGCAGTGCCTTGGTGCTCTCTGGTGAAGAGCGTCAAAGTTCCAAAGGGATCTTGTTATCACTGAGTCCATCTGCACTGACGGCTTATCTCTAAGAAGCCACCAACTCTCCTGTGACATGCTAGTGGACTCCAGGGCAACAGCATGGAGTTATCGGGGGCCAGAGCAGACAAGTACATGGAGGCGAAGAGCCTTGGGATGGGTCTGCAGAGGCTGCAGGTCTCTGGAGGAAGAAGACCAGGTCTTCTATCTACCTGGAAAGGACAGCGCTGTGGAGATGGTGGGAAAGGAGGTCCCCAAAGAGTGAGGAAGCCCCTGCCATAGGCATCCCTGCCCCTTTCTGCCTCCTGGCAAAGCCAAGCTTGGCCCAGCTCGATCACCAGAAGGGCCCCTGCAAATTACCTCTGCCTCTTCACCACAAACCCCTTATTTAATGATGCATCTATTATTAAGCAAAAAACTAATTTCCCATGTATTGTTTGGATATATAGCGTGTGAGCCCAGGAAAGATCTGGAGGGAGACACAGAAAATTGTTGGTGCCCTTTCTTCCTTTCTTTCTTTCCTTCTTTCTTTCTATTTCTTTCTTTCCTTCTTTCTTTCTATTTCTTTCTTTCTTTCTTTCTTTCTTTCTTTCTTTCTTTCTTTCTTTCTCTTTTCCCTTTTCCTTCCTTCCTTCCTTCTTATCTTCTTTCCTTCCTTCCAAGTCCACAGCTTTCAACAATAACTGCTTTCCACAGTAACACCCTGAGTTGATAAAAATTCTAGTAAAAGGATCTTGATCTTTCATGAGTTCATGATTCTGAGATTTCTAGCTTTGGTTTGGCCAAATCCCAAATTCAGATCTTCCCCCCAAGGGTCCACCTATGGGTGAGGAGCTAGGGGTGGGGCTGCAGGAGGGACAGCCAGCTCAGCCTTGCTGAGGGGAGCACAGTGGCTCGTGGACAGACCCCGCCTGCCCAAGATCACAGCACGGACAGCAAAAGCAGCAGCCACCCTGGCTGCCAGCTAAGGCAGGTTTCCAGGTGTGGCTACTAAAGGCTTCCCTGACCCAAGCCTCTGCCTGAGCCAGGAGCTCCCTACAGCAGTGCAGGCAAAGGCCCTGAGGCAGAGAGAGGCACAGTGACAAGGCTGAGCAGGGGTCTTCCCCATACATAGCTACCTCTTCCTCCTCTTCCCTCAGCAGACTTATCAGGTGCTTGCTCTATATCAAGTGAGGCTGTCAGAAACCTCAGGAGCCAGACCCTTAAGTCCCTGGCCTAGAGAAACCCACACTCTCAAGGGAGCTCAGAAACAACTCAGAGAAACAGTTGTCCTTGGAAGGGTGACACGGGCTAGGGCTGGCCTCTCACTCACTGCAGCTTCTGAGGCATGGAGGTGCTGAGGTAAATGTGCACCCTGACATGCAAAGCTCAGAAGCAGCCACTGTGGACCAAGCTCCCAGCTGACCCTCAGCACTCCCCAACCCAGGCAAGCAGCTACCAAGACGACAAGCCCACCATGTGGCACGGGAGACAGGCCCACTCTCAGAACCACAGCTTGATTAAAGCTTCAGTAAAGCAGCAAATGCTGGTGGGTTGGGCATGTCCAGAATTAACTCTAACCGGGGTCTTTTGGGAAGGCCTCTCTGGGGAGGACGCTCAGAGAGAGGGGTGGGACTGTGAGAGAAGGGCACCTCAGGCCAAGCGCATGGCCTGGACGAAGGCCTGGAGGGGGACCTGCGGGGCTGTGCTGCTTACCATTTTGCTTGGCTGTCTCGTAGTCTTCCTTGCACACTAGCCGCCCGTCCTCCATGAGGTAGAACTCGTCCCCTGTGGCCAACTGCCGGTTGCAGATGATGCAGGCAAAGCAGTGCAGGTGGTAGACGAAGTCCTGGGCCTTGCGGACCACCTGGGTCGGGGGGATGCCCTGCTGGCAGGCTGTGCATTTCGTGCCGAAGCGTCTGCCAGGGCAGCAGAAAAGGATTAGGGCGGGGGTGGGGGTACTGGGTTTGGGGGGCTTCCTCATCTTTATGGTGACTCCTGGGGGACCAGGCTCTCGAGGAAGCGCGTATCAAGCACCCAGCGGCCCACCTCTTCACAGGAGGTCCTGCGTGGCCAGGCAACAGTATGTATCTGCATTCGCACCGGTGCTCTGGAGAAAACCCCTTTGTCAGCGGAGGGCTCTCCGGCCCCGCCGTTGGCCACACACAAAAGCCAGTGCCCTCCTGTGCACAGCCCTGGATGCAGTGTCCCAAGTGGGCCCAGGAAGCTACACTGTCAAGCCCCATAGATTCTCCAGGGTAAAGAGTGTGTAGATCTCAGTTTGGACAGTGCCGCTTGACTTCTCCCTGCTCTGCCCCTTTCTGGAGAGGCACCAAGGCAACAGGAAGCTCCACACCGTTACCCTGTGCCAGGGCTGGGAGGGAGGAGCAACAGACAGGCACAGGGAGAGAACTGTCGGTCTGGTCCTTGAAGATACACGGAGCCATGCCAGCCGTCCTAGAGCAGGGGGGAAATCTGGGGTCCAGCAAAGACACGGGCAGTGGAGAGGATGCCTGCCACAGGTGAGCCTTCCCCGCTCCAGGAAGGCGGCGGGAGGGGCCGGGGAAGCAGGGGCAGAGTTTAAAACAGCAATCAACCTAATTATTCATGACACTTCACACAGCAGAACTTTATCTTCTTCAGGATGAAAGACTTCGCCTAATGGATCTGGGGAAGGTTTGATTTTAATGGTCCTTTTAACTAATGCTTATAGGCAGCCTGATTTCCCCTGAAAGGACAGTACATATTTCATCCACATTAATACCAAATAAATTAATTATGGTCATGGCTATCATGATGAATCCCAGATTAATGCAGAATGATGGGTCTCTTATGCAGTAATGATACCTGCGGAGGGGCTGCAGGGGCCTGCAACAAGCATGGCCAGCTGCAGCTTCAGAGGCACCCCCGCCGCAGCGACGTGCTGTCCTGGACAGAAGTGGGGGATCTCTCTGAGAGCCAGGGGCGTGGCTGGGGGCCTGCTCTTCTGAGATTATTACAAGAAAGGTATCAGGGTGTGAGGGGCTGAGACTAGGCTTTAGAAGGCCCCAGGCTTCCGAATTCCTGGAATGCCTTTTAGTTTGGAGGTAGGGACTGATCCAGGCCCCTCAGAGCCGGAATTGGGAGTTCCAAGGCCTGAAATTCAGGATGGGCTTTGTGACCTCCACCCACCCCCACACACACTTTCTTGGGCTTGAGGGCCTGGGCTTTCCTACGATTTTCAAAGGGATCCAGGAGCCAGAAAAGCCAGTATTTGTTAAATAATGAAATCAATGAATAGAGAACCACGGTCTCCGAGGATATGCACAGAAATGGCTCAACCTGAGAGTGGAGAGCAAAGTGGATGTGGAGCTCTGCACTACTCCACCCCTCCCAGAACACAGGTGGGAACCAAGCTTCTGCCACAAAGCAGTCTCACCGCATCACCAGTAATAAAGGAAAGACAGGCAGGCACCCTGCTCTATTCCCTGAGAATGAGAATGTGCGTGCGTTTGGGGAACAGAGATAAAGCCTGCGTCTGTGTTGCTGGAGAGTGCCATGTTCAAAGGCCTGTGGTTCTTATAATCCCATCCCAGCCAGTCCACAAAGCTGATGTTAAGTGAAACAATGCTTCTGCCACAATCCGCCCCTCCCAAGAAATCACCTACATCCAGACACTGGGTCCAAATCCTTTCCTGAAGAAGCTGGGGGCGGAACTGGCTCCAGGGAAGATCTGGATTTTCCCAAAGGCAAAATCCTACCTTGGTGGCCCACACAATGGAGCTGAGACCTGAGGAGAGGAAGGTTGAAGGGAGACCTGGGAACAGAGCAGAGACCCCCAGCGGTCTCTCCCTCCAGAAGGCCACATCACTGTCACCTCTAAAAAGCAGGAAGAGTTTGCAGTAGCCAGAAGCCCAGTTGACACCAGAGCACCAGAGACATGAAAGATAACGGGGGTATAAATTTAATCTACAGACCGACAGTGATTCATGCAAAAGGGTGGCAAGTGCACAAGAAAAATGAAAAATAAATGGACTTTCCCACAAGCATTTTTTAGCAATTGAAGCAATTTTCCTGATTGTGGGATTTATACGATGGTAAGTGGAAGTTGCTCCTCATTACCTTTATCTCCTGGAGCACAGCCAATAGGACCCTTGCTAAGGAGCCTCCAGGGCTCCCTGGCCTGGCCCAGTGTTGAGTGACCCCAGAATAAAGGGGCTGTCTAGTGCGTATGTCGGGCGGGTACCGTTGAAGACACTGTCCCTGATTTTCCGGTCTTAGATCAGATGAGAAAGGCCTGCACGCTCTGCAACAGTCTGTGACGGGGGATCCCTGGGCCCGAAAGGGCATAAAGCTGTGAAACTGGTTGCTGCACACAGAACCAGTAGTCTAACCATTCTCATCAAATCTGAAGGGTGCTGGGCTTGAGGGAAGAGGGGCTGATGGTTTCCAAGAGACGTTCCAGGCAGCAGCCCCTCGACGGCATCACCAAGCACCTACTGTGTGCAGAGCCCAGCCTGCTTGGGTGCACCATGCACTCTAGCCTTGCTCTGCAGAAATACATTCTTGCTGGCCAGCCCTGCCTGGCCAGGACTCCGGGACAGCCAGACTCCCGGGGACAGCAGCTGGAGCTGGTCCAAAATGAGAAGGAAAATGCAAGGAGGAACTTGCCAAGAGCTCCCACTGTGCTAGTCTCCTGACCAACGCCACTGGAAATTCTCTCCAGTCCTGCCCAGCACACAGAAGGCAAGCAGCAAAGGCCCAGTGAGTGAATGAGTGAGTTAGTAAACTACTCTTTAAACCGCGTGCATGAGGAGGCAGGGAAGGATCGGTTCTCAACGTCATAATGGCAGCTTCTGTCAAAAGCTGTTCGAAGAAGGGAATTGAGCCCCACATTAAAACAAGGCCCGAGGTTTATAGCACACCAAACTTTGCATCCCTCTTTGCTGTCATCATCATATTCATGCCACAATCATCTCTCTGGTGGCAACCTGGAAAGTGAGTGTCACTGACAAGAAACTGAAGCTCGGAGAGATCTGATGCTTTTTTGGTTTTTTTGGCAGCACTGGGATTGAACCCAGGGCCTTCACACTGAGCTCACACTGAGCTATAGCCTCAGTGCAGTCCCCTCTTTTCTTTGAGACAAGGTCTCACTAAGTTGTTGAGTAGGCTCAAACTTGTGGTACTCCTGCCTCAGCCTCCCGGTACACAGGTGAGGGGCCCGGAAGTGCCAGGCCATCACAGCCAACTGTCAGAGGCCGCCTCAGGAGGGCCGAGCCTTCTGTCCTTGTCCCAGCCTCTGCGCCAGTATTTGGCCTGGGTTCCCGTCTCTGCATCTGTCCACCCCTGCTGCTCTTGACAGGTGGCCCAGGTCACTCCCCAGTGCAGGGTGAGGGTGTCTGATTCCTGTACAAAAGCAACAGGACGACCCTGCAGGCAGAGAGCCTTCTAGAACCAAGGGCACATGAATCCCACAGCACAGTGTCTGGTACGTCCTTGATTTGAAGTGTTCTCCCACGATCATGTTGTGGTCGCTGACAGGTGACTAATGAAGGTCACCAAGCTCCCATTCACCAAGTGCCTCCTGCGCGTCCTGCACGGGGCCCTGTGCACACACGATCCCACTGCATCCTCACCATCAGACCCTCGGCCCAGCCCCACCACGCTGTCCCTGGCCCCACTGCCGCCCCAGCTTCACCGCATTCAATCCTTGGTCACTCCAGCTCCCGGCTCACCGTCACTCCTGCGTAACCCTGGATGACTTCAGTACCTCACAGACCGTCCTCTCGGCCCACCCCCTCAGTTCTCTGACCTCTTCTCCTGAAGGCCACACCCCCGCCCCGCCCCTCAGCCACACGCTCCAATGGGATCCCCAAGACCTTGCTGGGCCCAGTAACTGCCACACCTCCACGAGGTCCTCCGGTCCTCCTCTGTGGGTCACCACTTGCTGTTTCAGCAGCACCCTCGACAAGTCCTCCACACCCTGAGTCCCATGGCTCGCACTGTGCCCGCCACCATCCTTCACGCCCCTGGTGCCCTCGCTCCCCTCCGTCCGAGCCAGGACTCCATGGGCCACTGATCCTTCCCTTGCCGCCTCCCCTCTCCTGCCGTCTCAACCCTCTGCCTTCTCCACCTCTGCACCTGCGCCTGACACCACCCTGGCCAGGCTCCCTTTAACAATCTGTGTGCCTCAGGAGGGCCCTGGAAAGCACAGTGGGTTCCCTCTCCACCTCCCAAACCCTTCTCTCCAGCTTCATCCTCATTCTCAGCCGGCGGCGCTGCTGTTTCCTAGTCCCCGGACAAACGAGCACTCTGGACAGAGGGACTGCCGTGCTGCCTGCGCACTGTCATGCTAGCTGAGGGCCTGGCTCCCTGCAGGTAGACAGCCCGCCCCGCTCAGGCCTCACATCCACCTGCGCACAGGGCACCTGGTAACGGCCCTCCAGCTGCTGCCCCCTGGCCCTCCACATTACTCATTTGCCCTCTATTAGATCCCATCTGCACACGCAGGCTCTTGTTTCTGCACACTTAAACACCAAAAAACCCTTCACCTCACTTCCCCACCTACCACCCCTTTCACTACTGCCTTTAAAAGAGTGCTTCTCAAAAGTTCCCCAAGTGAGACTGCCGATGGCCCTGCACCCCGGTTTCTCCTCTGTCCAGCCAATTAGTATCTTGACCAGGCCACCTGTCCACGCTGTCACCAAGTCCAGAGTCAGCACCACCCCGCCCTACCGTCCAGCAAGCTCCGCCCCCTTCCCAGAGCACCAAGCTCACTCAGCCTCAGAATCCAGCTCCCCTGAATGAGCCCCCCACTCACCTCTTCCCCACAGAGCCCGCTCCCGGGGCTCTCCCTCCTCCTCCAGCCCAGAGCCCTGAGCCCCAGCCGGCCGGTCCCATGGTGCCTCGGCGCCCTCCCGACACCCAGACCCCCACTCCTGGTCCTCGCCTACAATCTGCCCATCTCAGGCCATGGCGATTTCAATTCTTCCAACTGCTCAGGCCAAAAGCTGAGCAATCAGCAAATCTGACCTATCAGCAAATTCTGCTGATTCGCCCCCAAATTATGTCAAGTGTCTGGCTGCTTCCTACATCTCCTGTGCCGCCTCCCTGGTTCAGGGGGCCGCCACCACTCAGGGACAGCGAACCCTGCCACACTGCCTCACCGCATGGTGGCCCTGAGGCCCACCCTCTCACCCCAAACCCAGAGAGACTCCTGCCTTGCAGCATCGGAGGCGAAGCCCCTCTAATGGCCTGCAGCACCCTCCACACTTCTGCACTTCCAAACTGTCTGACCTCACTGCCACCACTGCCCCAGCCACTCTGCCCCGGCACGCAGGCCTGCTTGGGCTCTGCTTCCTCTGCTGGGAACACTCACGCCCCAGACCCCTGCATGGCTCACTCTTGTGCTCCTACAGGTGTCCTTCGGGCGCATTCCCTGAGCACCCTCTCCCAGCACTTCCTTTCCCCGCTGAGCACTTACTGTTTGCTTATTACCGTCCTCCTCTCTGGAAGACAAGCTCCTCCACAGCAGGGTCTTCATCACTTTTGCTCACAGCTGAATCCAGAGCCTCCAGCAGCGCCTGCCCCTCCCGACAGTGTTAGTGAAAATGAGTGGCCCATTCCGGTGGCATGATTCATACAGTCTTCCCATTTACAGATAACAAAACAGGTTCAGAGAGGGTGGATAACCTGCCAGGAGGCCTCACAGCTGAGAACAGTGGAGCTGGGATTTGAACTCAGTGCCCTTTCTCAGAGCAGAAAGGCAGTCGGTGGGGGCCAGCCAGGCTGTGTGTGAGAGCTGCCACAGAACCACGCTGTCCTGAAGAAACAAAATACTGCATAACTTGGTTTTCTGCTTTAATTGCTCCGTGGTGATTTACTGCAGGCCATATATTTTTCTCCTGGCTGACACTTCCCTACATGTATTTCTTTTATCTATCACCACACTTGACAGGTAAGCTGCTGATATTTACTGTTACTGTATGTACTAATATTTCCAACATATATCACCGCCCACTCTAAGGCCACCGCCATGTCATGGGCACAAAAAGCTATGCCCAAGTACGGTCAGCCTTCTCCAGGTGTGACCTCAGTCTACACCCCAGAATGTTGGAGCCCTTGGAGGGGGACATCCTCCACTCCCCCACCCCTGCTAAATGTACACAATCACACGCACGTCCCTGGCCCACCAGGATTGCCCTGCAATGACCTGCTTTTTATTTGGGTTTCTAATATAATGCTTTAATATGATATAATGTTTACATAAGCCTCAGAACCATCCAGCTTTTTAATTTAACAGATGAGGAAACTGGGGCCCAGAAAGAGGGAGTGGCTTTCCCAAGATCACACAGCTCAGCTAGCGGGAGAAGTTAGAGACCTCTTGAGTTAGGAGGAACACAAATTGGAGTCCCATCAGGCAACTTAGTGAAACCCTGTCTCAAAATAAAAAGGGCTGGGGATGTAGCTCAGGGGAAGAGCACCTATGGGGTCCATCCCCATTACTGGAGGGGGAGAAAGGGGGAACAGAGACAGAGGGAGAGGGAGAGGGAGAGGGAGAGGGAGAGGGAGAGGCAGAGAGAGAGAGACTGTCCTTTCCTTAGCCAAAAATCTTCTCCATCCCGGCTGGATGCAGATTTGGGACATATAGGACCCAACCCCCCTCTATGAGTCCAGCCTAGTACCCTGCACTTTGGTAAACACTTATCAAGCATGTAATAAGCACCATAATTTCATGTGAATGATCTCAGCTTGACCACACAACAGCCTGTGTTGGTAGGTATGATTACTCCCCTTTCACAGATGGGGACAGTCTTGGAGCAGTCACCCGGGTGGCCCAAGGTTGCTCTCACCGTCCCCTTTCATTTCCCCTGCACCTAAGCTGCTCTTCTTCCTCCGGGTTACACAACCTCTGCCAAGATGTCAGCTCAGCTGTTACCAAAATAGCATGGGCAGAAGACCTGCCTGGGATGTTCACTTCAAAGCAGAAAAGCCACTCCTGACTCCTGGTTCTGGGCCCACAACGTACACACTGAACAAGGCCCGTGGGCTGCGCTATGCAGTGTGGACGTGCGTTCTCAGAAGAATCCTTGAAACTGATACTGTCAGCTCCTCCTGAGCACCCGCAGGTTGCTTGTCGATTCTGAGTCCCGAAGTCCCTTAAAACCAAGGGCCTCACTCTGTAGGGTGGCGTGGCAGACACTACCAGGCCGTGGAAAGGACATTTGGGGGACAGAGGCCCCATCCAGTCCTCCCTGCCTAACTGCTGTGCTCACCTATAGCACGGGTCTATGGCGTCTTTCCAAAGTGGTCTTCCAAGGAGGTGGAAAATTCCCCAGGGTCCAAAGTAACAAATCAGATGCTGGCTCTAAGAGGCCCCCAGTGCAACCTTGGCCAGAAAATCAGCAGAAGATAAAGTTGAGCCAGATCATGGGCCCCTGAGTGCTGAGCTTGGAAGTTTCAGCAGTGTGACCCAAGAAGGGCCTGGCAGGAAGGGACATCTGCATGGAGGAGCGGGGGAGGGAGAGGGCGGCAGTCAGGAAGCCATCATGGGTACAAAGGTAGGAAAAGCGGCCAACAAGACAGAGGCAGCCGGGATGGATAGAGAGGGCTTTTTGAAGATTGGATCTCAGTGACCTGGCACCTGGACAGCTGGGAGTGGGGGGTGAGGAAGCAAACGGGGAGCACACCGGGCCAAGTCTGGGCAGCTACAAGGAGGAGGCTTGCCGATGCTGGCCGGGGTGCTTTGCCTGGGCTGAAAGAACACTGCCCCATCTTCCAATCCCACGTCACCAGGAGCCCCCCGCTCAGAAACCCGATTTCCACAGTGCTAATGCCATCTGACGCCCAGGCTGATCTGCAGCCGTAGATCCAAACAGTTTCCTCCATGCCAGGAAAGTCCCTGAGAGGTGGTCTCCACAGATGTCAGGGGGCTGCACCGCGGGCCGGCTCGGGAGGGCGGCCGTGCGCACAGCTGAACCAGGAGAGCTCGGGCCGGGCCGACAGATAATCCTGGACTCATCACCGCCTGATATATGGCTCCAGTCCCCGGGGGGAACTGCTGGGCTAAGTAATTGCTTCTGCCTTGATTACAGGCTGTCACAAATGACTGTGGGCCTGGTCCCACCAGTGTGTTTGAATCTTACAAATGTCCACATGCACAGCCACTATCTAGACCATCTGATCGTTACCTTAAAAGGTTTAATTTGCTTAGTGAGGGAATTAGACTATAAACTATTCAGAAATTATGGAAAGCCACATGTCAAAGAGACCCTCCCCCTGCGGGTTCCTTAGCGTATTTTGCTGGAGCTGTGTGTGTGTGTGTGTGTGTGTATGTGTGTGTGTGTGTGTGTGTGTGTGGTCTGGCAGGTGTGCAGTTACCAGAAATAGAAAAGTGGCTCAGCAAAAGTCTAGCCCCAGATTGGACACACAGCCAACAACCAACCGCAGAGCTGCAGCAGCCTCTTCAGGAGTGACAGGACACAGGACAGCGGAAGGCGGCCTTATGGCCACACAAGGACGGGCTGGCCCCTCCTGCACGAACCTGGACCCTGCTCTGTGCTGTGAAGGCCAAGTGAGGGGGTTACGGTCCCAAAGCTCTGGAGGGACAGCATCCTGCGAGAAAAGCTCGACACAGAAAAACAGCTCTCCAACCCAGCCCCACAACAGAAGGCAGACATTTGTTCCAAGTACTTGAACTACCACTCTCCCTGGACCGGCCTCACCACACACCCCAGTCCCCCACCCGGCTGGAGGCCTTTCCTAGCCCCTGACTGCAGGACACCCTTCTCCCTTGTCTTCCCTACGTAGATGCTCTATTGCTACTCTGATAAGAATAGCTACCAATACATAGTGATAGCTACTAAGCTATCTTCCTCAATCCCCATAGCGACTCCAAATTTTGACGGTTTTGTTCCCATTTTAGAGATGGAAAAGTGAGGTTCGATAAGGTATGATGCCCCAAGTTCACACTGAGTGTGGGTTCAGACCCAGTAACCCACCCTTTAGGAAGTCTACCCCCGGGGAGGTCAGGCCTGCCCTGTTGGATGGACTGCACCCTGTGGGCCTCCGGCACGGCCCACATGAGGAAGAAAGGTCCTGGGCACCAGAGGGACTGGTTGAGGTCAACAGTGAAGACCTGTGTGCAGCCAGCAAAACCACCCCGCAGTGGCCAAACAACAGCTGAGCTGAAACACGCTGTTCTGGACTGCAGGGATAAATCACGGCTGCTCCAAGGACGCTGCCTACCTGCCCTTGGCTGACAGCGCGAGATTGACTGCTGGGGGGAGGGGCGGCGAGCCGCTCGGAGGGAACAGCCGCCCCGCCCCCACCGAGCAGCCCGCAGCCCCGCCCACACCTCGGCCTCCAGACGGCCAGGGACCCCAGCTGGCATGCAGGGCACGGCCAGGGCCTTAGGGCCCAGGAGACGGCCTCGGGGAAGGATGCCATTCCCAGCAGGAGGCTCCTGGGGCACCGCGCTCCAGAAGGACTGAGATTCTGTCCCCAGCGCCCCGCTGACAGGCAGTTAAGTACAGACCTCTGGTGACCTAGGGCACAGTTTGAAGCTCCCCAGCAGCCTGCAGTGTCCTTCACGTCTTGACCTCTACGTAAAACCTGTATAAACCACATCTTCTCTCTGACTCTACAGTGATATCTGTTTTTGTTTCACGGTAGTCAGAGGTTTATTTCCCAAATTTTCACATAAGTCAACATGGCTCGCCTGTCCTGTGGCATAGAGCCCCTGCCACCCTGCCACATGCCCTGCTCGCTCTGCCAGGCCACCCCAGCTCAATCTGAGGAGCTCTAGGTGTCAGGTGCCACCTCCACAAGGAAGCTCTCAAATAGGGGGTGGGGTTGAGAGGCCAGGACAGGCCCGGCCCTGAGGGACCTCACTGACAGCC